TTACCTGGGCAAGCACAACCTCCAACAGACATCTTCTCACATGTTTGGCACTGCTCTTAATGAAATGGTGTTGTTCAGTCCACGCACTGTTAGCATGGGCTTCTTCTGAGAAATAGAAACAGGCAGAAAGGGGGTGGGGAGTCAGCAGGAGGAGGGCACAAAAAATCAAAATGTAGAAACAAGAGCTCAGCGAGAAACAGGAAGTAGGAATTACACTCCTGCTCGACACTGCACCCAGGTTCATTAATATGCAAATTGCAATACTTGTGGGAGGGAGAAAATATGAGAGTGAGAGAGACAGAGTGTGTGTGTGACACAGGAGAGGATCAGAGAGGGAGGGAGGGAAAGCGAGATCCAACATTGTCAAAGTGACCTGTGAGGCACATTTTAGCGCACACTGGCCATGTGACGCTGTTCTTATTTTCTCGCTATGTATTGCCTATTTTTGCCTTGTGCTGCTAACGGAGATAAACAGAGGCAGCCAGAGCCCAGAGGCAAGGAGTCATTACCGCCTAGTGGAGCTACGACACACTGCATAAACACACACACATACACACACACACAAGCACACACACACACACCGCACACCGCACACACGCACACACACGCACACATACACACACACACACACACACACACACACACACAAAAACAACTCCCACTATTAATAATTCAGTCAGTTTAGGAAACCACAGATATGATTTGACACGACAGGGGATTTCTGTTTTATACAGTAACTATTTATGCTTCTGTTATATTATCAGACTTTCAGAAACAATACTTAGACACTTAAATGTAATTAAGTGTATTATTTACACAATGGTAAGAAAATTAATAGGAGGCCAAACAGGATTGAGACAAAGAGCCAAAGTTAACAGATGGTTCCAATGTGAAGTTATTTTTTTTATTTAAACTGTGATAATATCAACGTATTTCTTCTTTTTCTTCTTCTTCTTCTTTTTTTAAGAAGAATATATTTTAAAAGGAGACAAACCAGCTAATAATACAAAACATCATAGAAATCCTCAAATCTGTTAATGATACTTATTGTTGTTTGTGCTGTTGTTTTTATGTAACAACAATATGCCACAAATGTACACGGCAATATATTTTGTCTACAACATTTTAATGAGCCTAGTGAAAGTGTATGGACTATATAAATATATTAAAAATGTATTTACATTTTAATACATTTCCTGCTTTTCATGTTTGAAGTTACTTTGATAGTACCATAATAGTAATAATATATTTACAATTCATTTGTAAGTTCATTTAAATGTATTATTGTGATTAAAGGAAGTTAATTGAACATATTTAAAAATTGTGACTTAACAGTGGATATTTTATTAATGTTTTCTTCTGATAGGTTGTCCATTGGTACGTCTTCCATGGTATAATGAAATTGAGTAAAATAAGTAATAGGATTACTAAAATATGACCTCACCTCATATGTACTTGCTTAAGTCAGAGATGCTATTTAAAAAGTTTTTGCAATGATATATAAGTGTACAGACGGGACAGGAAATGTTGATGTGAAAAGGGGGAAACAGAAACAGGAAAACCTTACCAGACTGAAAGTATGGTCACCCTCATGCACACAGCTCAGTGAGTCAGTGGATCTTTGTTCACCACTAGTCCATGGCTCCAAGAGAAGCATGTTGTCTCTCTAAGTTCAGTGTGTAGCCTATTATCTGTTTGGAAACATCTTCGGGTACCTTTAACGTCACCCTTGACATAATGTGAACTAACTGCAAAATGACTACTCTGAGCACAGTGTGGCATGCTTCTGTCCGCAGTTTGATGGATGGCATTGTGAAAGCGCAGCAGGTCAGAGATCAGTAAAGCAGGGAAACGCTAACCAACAGCGGCAGATGCAAATGACCTGACAAATCATGGCATTGGTAGACATGACATCTTTTATAACAGACCTGTGACATCATCACATTGTGCTTGAGACTGAGTGTTACATAACCATGATGACCCACGGAGTACACGGATATGATAACAGCCTTAGATCAGCTGTTTTCCATGTAAGACACATACTGTAGGTGGGCCTTTAATAAATTGCTTTGCATTTCATCAGTATAATTACTTGTTGAATAAATGTATTCATTGTTGTTATACATATAGATCCTGGATATGTATTTAAGTACCCTATGGAGTTTTGTGGCTATGTTTTTAGCATTGAGGCTAACATACTTATGGTTGCATATTCTTTATAGTTGACAAATAAAGCAGAAAGCCGAAGGGAAATCTGAGGGTGTGTTATATTGAGCTTATCATGTCTAATGGGTTTTCTTAGAACCTGTTGAAGAAAACAGGAAACTAGTTTCAAAAACGGTTGCATAAAATCCATGCTAACAGCTATGACAAAAACACTTGTTCACCAAAGTGGATCTTCATTTTTGTTGCTGTTCTGTTATGTCAAGGACGCTAGCAGAACGATGACACTTAATCAGTTTACACAATGAAATGCTGTTTTAATGAAAATTTGTTTCCTTCATATTTTTAATATATATTAGAACCGTTTTATAAATGCAAGAAGGCAGTCAAGGCCATACTAAACTATGAATATGGCCTTAGAATATACTGCGAAGCAAGCACTTTGAGCTTCCATTTAGCACATTTAATGTGTTTTGATCAATGTTTATGTGAATAAGTGATCAAGCCTTTTTGGCATTTTGGCGGAATGTATTTTCAATGGAGGGACAGGAGACTCCCAGGTTTCATTAAAAACATCTTCATTTATGTATTGAAGAAGAACAAAAGTCTGAATGTAGGTCTGAATGACATGAGGGTGAGTAAATGACAGAATTTTCATTTTTTGGGTGAAGTAATCCCTTAAGAGTTTGCAATTACAGCTGAATACCACATCCTTCATTCAAGGTCTTAATTCCTTTTGGTTTGTGGGTTTGAAATCCCCATTTTTTCAAAACCACCAGAATGGCCATTTTTGATCCAAAGTTACCATACTTCTTGTCAAAAGCGGGTAAAACCATTCTTCAATGGGAAAAACCAGTATCTGTATTTAAGTTATGGTTTCTTAGTAAATCAGGCTTTTGCTCTCTAGTCCCTGAGGTTTAACACACGAACTTTTAACTCATTCAATTTTCTATCATGTTTTTGAGCCGCTCTGCAGGACGGACTGTTCTCATAGGTGGGGGCGCATTCAAGACTCGCAAGTAAACACCCACTGCTGTGATTGGCTGACAGTTTCACTTATTAAAATAACAGATGGACGCTGCTGTGACGCACTCTGAAAACAACATGGGTCAGTTGGGTTAAAAATGTATACATACTCAGTTTATATCAAACAGTCTGGAACAGACACAATAGTGGTAAAAGCACATTTACTCACACTTCTGTGTTGCGACATTACTGTTGGATCCACTCTAGTCAGTCTCAGTACTGCGCGAGCGGCGCAACGCGACTAAACAACAGAACCCATTATAATCGGCTATCCTGTCTACACTGGATGTGCCACGGATTGTCACAACAAATCCCTGACAGTAAACTGATGTCCCGCTCTATTTCTGACATATAAGCATTCGCGCCGCTTCTGACATGAAAGAGAAATTGATTCGCGACGTGACGCAACAGCCCTCGCGTCCAATGTAGATATGTTAGGATCACAAAGAAGGCAATTCAAAGACCATTTTTCACAACTGACACTACACAGTGTCTTGTAATCTTGTAATGTCATCTGTATGGTTCTGTTGATGGAATAAACCTGTGTTTGCGTCTCTCTAGTATTTCCTCTCCTACTACAAGTGCGTATCAGTGGGCGGAGCTAAACAGGCAGTGATGTAGAAGCAGGCGTTGATCTTCTCCTGCGGAGGCGGTGTTTAGCCACACTATTACGTCATAAAGTGGCACATTCCAAAACGAGTCATTTTCGTGGTTTCAATAAAAGCTGTTTTTAAACTAACGAGAAAGTTTTGAGTTCTGAAACTTACAGGATGTTTTTTATTGTACATTGACCTGTTATATGTCAAAAGATCAAGGTAAATATAGTTACGATTTTTTTTTTCACTTGATTTAGTTGAGTTCTGTGCATTGAATACGATGTGATTTTCGGTATTCGAGATCTGGCAACAACAGCGCATTAATGCCAACAAACCAATAATATTCATTCGAAGCCCTCTGTAATTGGCACAGATTTGCAGAAAATTAGTTGTTTGGCAAATAAACAATTTAAAGACATAAGTTGCATGCATAATCCTGACACTTTTTATTATGTAAGCTTTATGTTGCCCCTCAAATGACAAGGGCATTGATGACTTTGATATTTATGTTTGTTCAATCAATTAATTGAAATTGACAGTTTGCAAACTTTTTAAATTATAAATTGCAACAAATCTGTGTTAATGCTCTCATTCTTGCTCGTCAAAAGATAAACCTGCTTACACACACTGTGCTGAGTCACACAGGACTGTCAGATGGAAACATAAATGGGACATCCAGCTTCCCCTTTGCCCTTTCTGGCTGTGGTGGTCAGCTAGTGCAGATCTTATTAGTTATTCAGAGTGACAGCGCTGTGGCCCCTGGATGCCTCACATCGTCCTCGCTGCCATCCACCAGGCGAGAGAGAATGACCCCATCTAAACCTTACACAACTGCCTAAAGTGGCAGTTTGCCTGTCAAATGTGATGACTCATGAATTCTTTAAACGGAAATAAAAAGGAAATGCAGTCATCACAGTCTTACTCAGGCACTCCATAGTGCAAAAACTTTTTGCTACCCTAAGATAATAATGTAGATAGTAAAGAGATTTTTATTTTTCTTTCTTTCTTTTTTGGTGATTGTTCTTTTTGGTAGTGTTAAAAACGGTTAGTTCACCCAAAAATTAAAAATCTTTCATCGTTTACTCACCATTTCATTGTATGCACACTGTAAATTCTAATTAGTAAACCTTACTTAAAAAAAGCATGCGTGTCAATAAAGAAGTCATTCACATTGTTTATTTTAAAATATTGAAAACAATTAAGGTAGCAACATACATTTTTAGGAGTTGTAGGGTGTCAAGTGTCCTCATATATCTGCAAAAAAAAATAAAAAAATACAGTGGTTACAGGTATACTGCATCCACAAGAAATTATTTGAAATTGTAAATAAAGTGTAGAATGGTGATTGAGAACGGAAGACTGCTCTACTGCTGGGTATAACAGCTTAAGAAGAAATACCTCACCTCCAGTGTACTGTGGCCCGTGTTGATGAGACCGGTGCTCAGAGAAGACAGTTACCACAAGCACTTTTCCTAAATATGACGTAATTATTCAGTTAAAGGAAAGTTCCACTAGTATTGTGGCTTGTAGATTACAAACACATTCATTCCTTGATATTTGCATGCTTTACAAGGATTACAGAAAGAAAGAAGTAAAGAAAGAATACGCATTTCTATACATATCTATTTGAGGCCTCAATCATAAAATCAATTCAAATGCAGCATTTGCTCTGTATTACTGTTCAACACAGCAAAGAAATAACAATTACTGCAAGACAAAGAGCTCATTCAGTTTAACCCTTAAAGGTGTAATCACGTAATGACTATGATTGCGATGTATTAAAATATAGACAATAAAATTATAGCCATAAGTTCTAACAGCAGAATAGCCTAGATCTTTGGTGCCTCTTAGCGAACACCGGTGCTGACAAGGAGTTAGTCATAGTCGGTTCAAATTAACAGCACACAGAAAGATACATTAACACACAATTATTTTTTTTAAACGTACCTTTCTTTTATTGTATAGAAGTAATCGGTCTTTGTCCAGTGATAAAAATGCAAGCAGTCTCTCTCCTTCCCAGGTTCAGCAAATTCGGTGCACATATTTAAAACACTTCTTCTTCTTCTTCTAATAACGTTTTATGGCGGATGGCAAACCAACTTCTGGTGCATTTACCGCCACCAACTGGACTGGAGTGTGGAGCACTAATAAATACATATTTATATTTATCTATATTTTATATCAAAAAAAATAATAATTTTTTTTTTTAAAAACCAAAACACACACATTCCTAAATTCTCCTGATTAATCCTATTCCTTTAATGTATTTAACAATAGCACCATATATTTTTTTATTTTATTCAAAACACTGCTTGCTGCGCATGCTCTCTAACCATGCTTATTTCTTCTTCTGTTGTTTTGTTGCACATTAGCAACACATTGGCGCACTGCTGCCTCTCACTGGTCAATTAATGTCATTGGTTTCGTTGTGGCTACTTTAATAATTTAAGTAACAGTTACTCATAGCAGTAAGTTAGTTGTTTTACTCGCCGTAAAATGGCTGTAACTTAACAAAACCTAGTAAGTATAACAACTAAGTAAAGATAACCAATTATATCTAAGTAAGGTAAACTATTGGATTTTACAGTGTGCACAAAACGCATTAAAAAAAAAAATGTCTTTGAAAGTGTTCCACAATAGAAAGAAATGCATACAGGTTTGGAACGACGTGAAAGATTTGCTCAAACATGGGTGGCGGATGATATATACACTGTCTATAATATAAACAAGAGTTGGCAGATTGTTTTGGAAAGTTACTCATAAATATTGTATGAATGTATATCTTCCAACACACTATAGATATGGTTCATAAACACTGTACTAGATGCCTGGTCTGTTTTAAAGTTGTCCCGGTTCTTTAACCTTATAAAGCCTACTGTATCATATTTGATACGCACATTTCTAAGGCCACTATAAACACAATCAAAACATGGAAAAAAACTGTTGTGCATAATCTATACATGACTGATTGATAGTTATTATTTTGATACTTTTTAGCAACTAAAAGGCCTTGTAGTATAATTCTAAAAATGTCCACC